GTATGATTAATCTTGTAATACTTTTGCCATCACAAGAAATTCCATTATTACGAAATTCTGAAATAATGTGAGAAAATCTTAGTAATGTGTCACAAAAATTTACTTTTCTTTTGAAAATACTGTTATTTCCAGAAGACGGCGTCTTTCAACGATTTGCAGGTCAATACTCTGTTGATAAAATTCGTCATAAAGCTTCTCATGGCCTTGACAAACAATGGCACCTTCAAGAGTGTCACAAATTTTTAGAGTTCAATGCTGGACAAGGATCCTGAAATATGTTTATAGCAATAAATAAAGTCAAGAGACCGTTGCCCACTCGTTGTATGTTATAGACCATGGCAAAATAGTTTCATCATTTTCTAAACGAAAGTCTAAGTAAAAATATTACATGTATTGCTTATTGTCCCGCATTTATCTGAGCAAATTAATCATTCGTCAAATTTTCTGTGTCTTTTAACTGGAGTAAGATATTTATCTTTAAAGAAGGATCCCGCTGAGGTTTTCAACATTGAGTGGATTCGTGACCCGAATTCCAACACTTTAAACATGACCCCCCCAATATTACTTTAAGTTATTAATGATACTTGCCAAAACTATTTTGAAAAACATTTAGCTTGGTGATTGCTATCCAAAGCTTTTTCTAAACTCAATAATATTAAATCAAGTAGAGTTTTGGATTAGTTTTAGCCTTTTTCACTTTTGTGTATCAAAAAGAGCAAGCCAAATTGATATTTTAGAGAGCAGAACATTCTTGGCAGGATGTATATTTTTTGAAACATTTAATTAATTATTGTGAGGTTATTTATTATAATTACTTGTATTTTTATCTCTTTTACTGAAAGTATTATTTAATAAAGTAATAAAATGATAAATAAAAATTTTAATTTTAATTTTAAGATCTGCTAAAATTATTATAAAAGGAAAGAACACACAAATTATAAATAAATATATATATATACATGAATAATGATATAATAATTAACATATAATAATAATTTTTGGCTGATCATGTCTTATTAATACAAATATAGAGAAATACTAAAGCAGAATAGTGAATTATATGTCAATTCAAATTATATAAATCCAAATTATATTAATATCAATTTATCTAATAATTATCAAGTTATATAACTATATATAATATATTTCATTATTATTACAAGTTAATTTTTTTTGTTTTTATTTTTTTGAATATTTGAAAGTGATTGGTTAATAAAAATATAAAAATAATAAGGATAAAAATGAATAAAGAATAAATATTAATTAAGAAATAATTATATTAATAATATAAGCTTAAAAATATATTTATACAAGAAATACAAAAAAATTAAATCTTATATTTTGAACTGTGTTTAAGCTACAAAAAATACTAATAAAATAAAATATATATATATATCTCAAACAAGATTTTTAATACAAAAAATTATTAATCAAAAATATATAAGTCTTTTTATTATTAATAACTTCTTTAAAATATCTGAAAAGAAGTTTTATAAAGAATTATAATTACTTATATTCAATATTTGAATATGATATAATAATTAGTAATTTCTTAATAATAATTTTGAATTATTTATATCTATTATTTTTTAAACTACTATAAATCTAGTATATGAAAAGTAGAAATTTCAGTTAAAAAAAAGAGAAAGATAAGTAAATATAAGAATTAAAATAATATATATTATTATAATATAAATTAAATATTATAAAAATATATTAAATTATATTATAATAAAATTAATATTTAGTTTATAAATCATAATTATATTATATATTATATCATTTAATTATTTTATTTTTGTTAAATAAGTTATATTATTATCATAATAATATAAAATTTCTTAATTTTATAATCTTTCTTTGATTATATGAAATTTTATATTTCTATAATTTTATAATTTATTCTTATTCTTATATAATTATATACAGCATGTTACAAAAAAAACCATAATTTTTAATTTTTTCCATAAATATTTATTTAAATAATATAAAAATTTAAATATATATA